TCCTCAACAACAGTTGCCAAGGTAGACTAGTCATGGGCCAGCCAGTTCTGCTGGCTACTGGGAATTCCAGGCAGGCATGCCTCAGTCCCTGTCTTGCCTACTGAATTTCAACTAGCAGAGGTTTCTTTTCCTAAGGCCTTAATTTAGTTTAATGGCTAGTAATGAGAGATGACCCAAGACATTTGATGGTAAAGGCAGAAAATGCAAATGATGTCTTGCCCCCCCTTCCTATGGTAATGGTAACAAATACCACAATAAACTAAGCCAGAGATGGAGAAATTTTGTTCTTTAATGGTACTTAAAAGTTGCTTTGTGAGGAGTGCTGCTTCAGCCTGCCTAACAGTTGGTCCGGGCTTAGAAGGCTTCCCACCTCTGATATTTCACAATGGCGATTTTTAAAGCTGTTATTTTGTGGCTAGTTTTGCTCCTGCAAAGACTTGGTGCAGAAATACATGAATGAAGTTTTGTCTGCTTCAGTCTGAAACTGTGTGCTCGGTGCATTGGTTATTAGGGTTGCCAGCCATTGGATAGCAACCAGCATAAGAGGGAGCGGGTGGGGATGTCGCTTGAAAAATTTCATACGACGTCACATGTAACAACCTCTATATAGAATCACCGGTTCATACAAATGGTGCCCTCTCATGATTCCTGCTAGGCCATGAGTCTGCTGACAGCTCCATCAGCTTCTGCATGTGATCACATGGAGGTTGAAATGGGCTCAAGGGCATACTAAACGTGTGTGAAAAAAGCTTTGTCTCTCCTCCATGCATACAGTTCTATGCAGGGCTATTTTTGGGCAGGAACGCACAGGAATGGAGTTCCGGCTGGCTCCCAAGTTGGCCACACCCAGCAGGAACTCATTAGCATAACAGGCCACACCCAACAGCAGGAACTCATTAGAATTGGCTACATTAGGGGTGTGTGGCCTAACATGCAAAGGAGTTCCTGCTACAAAAAAAAGCCTTGGGTTTTGACAACAAACAAGGTAAACAGAATAAGAAGCAAAAGGGGTGTGGCTGGATGACCACACTTCTGGCAACATGGGAATGCGGCCTAATATGCTAATGAGTGGTGAAGTCAGGGGGTGTGGCCTAACATCCTAATGAGTTTCTGCTGCTGGGTGTGGCCTATTATGCTAATGAGTTCCTGCTGGACTTTTTCTTAAAAAAAAGCCCTGGTTCTATGTATGAAATTAAGGGTCTGAATCTGTGCAGATGCTTGATAGTTTTGCCTCTTTTGTGCATCGAAGTCCTTTCAGTTACTGTCTTGCTAGTCTGAAAATAGATATAATAATCATAGGAGGGAGCAGCATTCTTTCTCTCTGCATGAAAACAAGAATGGTCTAGAACCAATTTGTACTCAAGTTGAACAGGAGATATGAATCAGTGAACACACCATAGCAACCATAACTGTTTTGTCTTTTAACCACAGTGAAGCAAAGAGGAAAGTGTCAAGACCTGGAATTTATGAGTCACCATCCTAAAGGGCAGTAAATAACATTCCCAGTCACTCACGCAAAGAACAAATCCATGGAACTGTGACACTGGAACTTCTATGAGATATGGTTAACTTATCATCCAAATTGTTTTAAGAATAAGCAAACAATCCTTGCCCCTTGACGTTTCAGCTTCAACCAACGTAGAAGCAAGGGACAACCGCTGATGGTATCAACAGAGAATTCAGAGAAAACAGAAACCCCAGACCAAGATTGGTGTTCGTTTCCTTCCTGCAACAGCTTTTCCTCACACTAAGCAGATTGAGACTGAAGCTATTCCGCCCCCTTCAGGAAGATCTGTCCAGTAGCACCTTAGAGACTAACGAGTTTCAGGCAATAAGCTTTTGAAGGTCAAAGCTCCCTTTTGTCAGACACAAGTAAGAACGGAGATCTCCGAGTCCTTTTGTTCCAGTCAGAAAGTGGGAGGGGCGTTGTAAAGAATGCTTGCAAAGGATGCTAAGGCACAATGCATATTGCAGTCGATTTGATTAGAGCAGAGGGGAAATGCTTTTAGAGGCACCTGCAGAGACAGCCACACAGACTACATTATTACCCCTCAGGTGTCATGATTACTTGAGAGGATTAACTGTCTCAAGCAACAATTGTTCCTAAGTACTCCAAAACTCTGTTAATTGTACGGAATGCTCAGCTTGCCAGTATGAGACCGATTCATGTATTTGGATGGGGAAATGCCTTTGTTTTAGGGAAATAATAAATCAACAGGCTCCTGTCAGACAGACATGCCATATCTTGGTAAGCGTTTTGTATGACTGCTTCTCCAATTGATTTCCACTCTGTGGAAAACAAGAACAACATCAGTCAGTCACAACTCTGATATATGTGTATGTGCGCATACATTTACTATGTATTTCCAGATGCACAATCACCCTTCAGTCAATATAGACGAGCTATCATTGACCCAGAGGTGCAAGGAGCTCTGTAGTATCTGAAGAGGCCCAAAGGGAATAGAGCAGTGGAGGTTCTCTAGCATGACTAATTATGCCTGGGTCGGATAAAAAGAAACTAGGTGGTGTTCTATTTATACTATCTTTTATTCCTCAAGTTCCATGATTTACACATTGTTTGTTTTTTCAGTGTGCCTGTAAGGTGGTGCAAGTTTACATTTCACAAACACAATAAAATTTGATTCTGACAAACATGTACAATTATGTGAACAGTTCTCAGGAAGATGCAATTGGCTGCAGGTCCCTGTTGAGTGTACCAGTACACAGCTGGCAAACCCAAGCATGAAATGGCCAGAGAGCACATGACAACTGTGTGACATAGGTTTTATAGATTGTCTAAATGTTTTGTGGACGGCATAGAGTGATGACAAAGCAATGTAGACTGACTGTATAAACCAAATATCAGTGTGGTAGCCTTTGGTGCTATTCAACATATCCAATAGCCTAACTGTAAAGTTATTGGGTTTTCTTTTTGTGATCAGATCTTTTTCATGTCTCACAAACATATAGACTTGTAGGTAAGCAACATTAATGAGACTTTAAGAGAAGACTTCAAATTAATTCTTCTATGGCCTGGATATATTTTCTTTTGCAGACACTGGCTGAACATTTGTAAAGGAAGATCAGCTTACATTTTAAGGCAGAAAAAGTGCTTTATTCTGGTGAAATTAGATTTGAACTAAAAATAACTGAAAATATTCCCCTCACACATGTCATCTCCAGCCTACAGAACCACTTTGATTCATATTCAAAGGCTACCGAAAGAGGTTTATATAGTAGTTTTTTCAAAATCTTACAAGTTTAGAAGACCACTCATCAAATGCTCCATTTTGTACAGCTCCTAAATGTAAATAACTCCTGGAGTTTGTTGCAGCCACGAAAAGCCTTTGACAAAGATAGGAATCACTGACAGCCTCTGCCTTTTTCTGCCTGCAACCATTTGCTGTGCTTGGTTGTATGCTTTTTAGAGCAGCAGCCTTCTCAGGTTGGGCAAATACATACTTGCCATAATCCAGCAAAAGAACTCCATGCCCTGATTCAGGCCTCCTTGTTCAGATGGACCCCTATGAATTACATTAACATGCCTTCAGACAGGGATGTGTGTATGTGTGTGTCTATCACTGCCTGCCTGCCTGCCCGTCCATCCATCCGCCCATCCATCCATCCATCCATCCATCCATCCATCCATCCATCCATCCATCCATCCATCCAGGGGGACTAGTTGTTTGTTGTGCAAAACAAAAATTGGATTGAGACCCATCCAGCTACATTATGGATATAGCAGTATCAAAATAATGTAGTTGGATCCTCTACCTGGCAGGTATGTGCAATGACAGTGCAACCGTAAGCAAAGGTACACCCTTCTAAGTACATTGAAATGGGTTCAAGGAGGGGCCGTGGTTCAGTGGCAGATCCTCTGCTTGGCATGAAGAAGGTCCCAGGTTCAGTCCCCGGCATCTCCAGTTAAAGGAACTGGCATTCAGTGATGTGAAAAACCTCTACCAGAGACCCTGGAGAGCCACTGCCAGTCTGAGTAGACAATACTGCCCTTGATGGACTGAGGGAGCTTCATGTGTTCATCTGTGTAACTCTGCTTTGGGTGGCAGTACAAGTTGCCTAAGGGAGTTTAGGAAACTGGATGGCAGTTTAGATAAATGGAATCTTCTTAGTGCATGGAGGGGGAGGATGTAAGGAGAGTTTTTAGAAGTGAAAACCTTTGGACAGAGCATCATGTTTTTAGTAGTTTCCCCATAGGGTTTAACAGTTGGATGCAATTAGCAAATATTTGTATTCAGCAGCAGTATACCTCTGATTACCACGTGCAGGGGAGAAAGAACAGAAGCTGGGTATTTCCCTCATGTTCACTTTGTGAGCTTTAGCAGATATTGATCTGACAGTCAACATATGAAGATAGAATACTGGACTAGACTTTGGTCTAATTCTGGAAGGCAATTCTTACGTAACAGCCCCAGTTTGGAAAAACAATTGCTTAGTACACAAATGTTTAATACCTGCACCCCACAGGGCCAGAAGAGGAGATGTTCCAGGCAGGAATTAGTAAATCACTAGAATGTTTAGGAATAATCTGAAGAAACAGAAAGCGGACCCTGTGCTTTCTGTGCAGACCTATAATGTACGACTGACTGAGGTTTATTTCAGCAGAAACTGCATTAAAAAGGAAGTGGGTGAAATTGTGTCAATGAATTATGCAAAAGCAGATGAAGCAGTGCACTGAAAAAAATTCTGCTTTAGTTTAAGGCTGGGATGGGCTAGAAGTGTTTCCAACGCATGCTGCTCCCATGTCTTCAGATACTCTAATTTTGGGGATAATATCTACATTTTAAAGAACTTCCAAAGGGAAATATCACATGATGTGGGATGTATACAAAAATGGATAACACTGTCAGTTGCTTAGTTTTAGAAACTTTTAAACTTCACAAACATTGATAACTACATATGTATCCATTATATACAAAGACTATACATTAACAGTAGAATGCATATTTCTTATGACACAAAGAAAACTATCTTTGGGGGGGGGAGATTTACACAGATGAGCTTATTTTAGTTGCAGTAATATTTGGCAAGAGATTAATGTTTAAGTCACAACATATACTGTGTTGAAATGGGAAAGATAGTTTAAACATAAGATTCCTTCGCACATTGTATGTGGTCGAAGGTTGGTTGACTACACCGCCGTGTTAAATATTCTTGTTTATTCTTCTGATAAGACCCAGACATGGTCCTCAGGCGGTAGACTTGAGGAGTGAGTGGTAAATTAGCTCGGGAATGAATTCCAATAACAACATCCATGGCTTGTGTTTTGTCTTTAGGATTACTGACCACAGAGAGTTTGTCATTAAAGGTGTCCTTATATACTTTGTTTGGAACATCTCTGTTTGGCCTTGGACATTGAGTCTGAGAGTCTAAGTGCAATCTGGTTGACTTCATATTTTGAACAGTTAAGCTAGTGGATGAGGGAAGTCTAGCAGCTGAACAGTTTTTGATAGCCTCTTTGTAGGATGGCGGCTTTCCAGGATTTTTCTGATCAACAAATCGAAACACCTCATCGGCTGAAAAGAAACGAGGCCTCAGTTGACATCCCACAGGCACTGGGTTGTAGCTGTTTGCACAGGTTCCCTGAATGATTCGACAGGAAAGCTGTCTCTCTCTCTTGGAGTCCTTTTTGAAACTGCCTCTTTGGAAACCAATTACGCTGCAACTTTGGGTTTTAGTTAGTTCCTTCTTGCGGGTCGCCACAGAAAATGACATTGAATGTTTTCTGAGCTCTTGGTTGGATGTGTTACTTCCAACAGACGTTTTGGTGGAGAAAGACTGGGGCCGAGTAAAAGCATTTTTCTTTGAGATGGAAGGCGATGTTAGTGGTGAGCTGGTGAAGACAGAAGAGTCAGAAGCTGGTGAGGAACTATCTAGTGAACTGTTGGAGGGTGTTCTAAACAAGGAACTGGTTGACGATTCTGAATACAAATGGCTTTTTATAGTTAGGTTTGGTGGCTTTTTATCCCTATGAAGGTTTGGCAGATATAGTTCCTTGGTGATTTGCTTTCTGAGCTCTTGACACTTCAGTCCCAGTTCCTTCCGTTGAACAAAGTTATCCTCACTTTTGGTTAGCTTCTGGCTTCTCATGTTGCCTTCTTGATAGGCCTGAGAAGAAAACATGTCTGGCTCAGAGTATCTCCTATTTAGTTGACTTGTGGATTTTTTAAAAGGAGTCAGTGAAGAGGCAGAGGCAGTCTGGCTTTGTGGGTGATGGTGCTGTAGCTCTGTCCTGCTCAGCCTACTGGCTGGCCCCTTGGCTTCTTGTACATGTTTGTCCTGGAAATCACTGGAACTGCAGTCTCCTGTGCTGTCATAGGCTGAATCATTTTGCTGGCTGGGAGACAGCATTTCTGTGGGAGGAACAGAAAATCTTAGGCTTTGGTTTGGAGCATGTAAACTCAGTCTTTATAAATAAGCATAAATAAGCCAATCATTAAAAACAACACTAAAATGCCTGTGTATTATGTATAGATAGTACTAGAGAAGAGGAGTGATACAGCTAAATTCTATCTGACTTCTAGATAGCCTGGAGAGACAAAATTTGAAGTTCTGATGGCCTTCCTGCAAATTGCAAGACAATACTCAACAGATTTACATCAACTGCCATGTAATAGGGTTAGAACTACCAGCAAATGCAAATTTAAAATAGGATTTCCTTCATATTCTCCAGTCTGAAAACACTGCTATTCTTATTGTCATTGTTGTGGTAGAAATGGCTGTCAAGTCACAACCAGGGCCGGCTCACCATCTAAGCGAACTAGGCATTCGCTTAGAGTGCCAAGCCCTGGATGGGGCGGTGGCCGGCCCTGGATGGGGTGCTGATCTCCCCCCCCCGCCAAAAGCCTGAATGAAGGCGCGGTCCGTTTTCTTCGCTTCCCGGGCAGCTGACGCGTCTCAGCACATCAGGAATGGATTTTGGAGGGGTGGCGGTGGCTGAAGGCAGCGGGGCAGGCAAGAGAGGCGTAGGGGCTGGAAGGAAGAGGCAAACCAGCCAGTCAGCTGCTGAGTTTCCTCCCAAGGAGCAGGCGTCTTTTAATTTCATGGCTGCCACACAAAACTGGCTCGGCTGGGCAGAGGGAGGAAGGGAGGCCAGAGGAGCGTGGAAGAAGCGACGCAGCAGCTCCCCTCAGAGACAGGAGAAAAACCCCATTGGCAGCAAGGCCGAACTCCCCCGGCCCGTTTCAGCGGCCTCTGAAGGCGCCCGGCCACCTTGCCTTTGCCCGGGGGTGTGGCCCGGCTTTGGGGGTTTCCAGCACCGGGAGGTGGTCATCCTTTAAAGGGAGAGAGGGAGGGAGGAGAGGGGAGGGAGGAGAGAGGGTTGGCCAGTTAGCACCTCAGAGCAGCGCCGCGTCTCTCTTACTCAGGCCGGAAAGGGAGGGCACGCAAGCAGCAGAAGAAGGGCTCTCTGGGGCACTCCGGGAGGTTGGCAACCCTGTAACTGGGGGGTGCAGGGGGGGCGCCAGAAGGTAGCCCCGCCTAGAGCGCAAAAACCCCTCAGGCCGGCCCTGGTCACAACTGATTCATGGCAACCCTGTAGGACTTTCAAAGCAAGAGAGGTTCAGAGGTGTTTTGCCATTGCCTCTGCTTAGTGACCCTGGACTTCATTGGTGGTCTCCCATCCAAACAGTAACCAGGGCTGACCCTGCTTAGCTTCTGAGATCAGACAAGTGTTACTTTTCATCAAAGCTTACATTGGGGGTTTCAGTACCACAGAGACAAGGCTGCAAGAATACTTCTGATTTTCCAAATTCTGGGGCTTCTTCCCCCTATAATCCCCCAATTTCCCATTCTATTATTCCTTGATCAGCTTCTTGGATAACATTCAACTCTTATCTAGGACCCCTTTTCTCTGCATTCACTTGGATAGCAAAGGAAGCACTAAACATGAGCTGCAGCCCCATTAGCAGATTTCAGGAACCTAAGTTACCTCCCTGTCTTTTCACTCTGATATCAGAGGAGCCTCAATGATTAACATCTGAGTTCCTCATGTGAGCTTGTGAGGTATCTGTGAAACATTTGGAAAGGTTCCAGCTTTGTGGCTTGTCAGTTATCAACAGTCACTTCCTGAGCAGTTAATATATGTCTAAATAAACTAGCGTTGCATGACTGAATCAAGGTTTTGGTATAGTTAGGGACTTCCAAAGAAATCCTAGCACAGTTGTTCATTTCTTCTTCCAAAAATGTGGTTAATCAAATACTGATCTAAACTCTTAAAAGACCCTTGATGAATATAGTATATCTATAGGCTACAGTACCTGACTTGTCCAGGGAATCGTCATCAGAGATACTGAATAGCAAAGAGCTGTCTTCTCCAAATATATCAGAACAATTATCAATCAGGAATTCCACCAGGGTCTTCACCTGTGCAAATCAAGCAAGTATATTTGTGTTATTTAGGCATTGGTCTCAGGATGTATAACAGTAGCACTATTATTAGTATAGACAGAATGTGGTTACTATAGTTTATGACCTTGCTTTTGTGCTGCACTGGCAGAGGCTGAGTGGTTTTATCATTTCCAGCTTCATGTACTGATTTCAGAAGTATGGACTGGATTCTGGCATTACAACTAGGGTTGCCATTTCCCCAGTGGGGCCAGGGGATCCCCTGATTTTTTTGGGGGGGGGAATCTGCCGTGGCCCAGCTGGCTGGCGGGAGAAGTTCCACCCTGGGAAGCCCCCTCCTGGAGCCTATGGCGCCAGCACGATGACATCCCCTGGGAGTGAATATAATGGCAAATGAGAGCTGATACCTAAGGCAAAATGTCGCGTTTCCAACATTGAGGGAAACACCCTAAGTTTTGGGCAAAACTTTGTAGTTTTGAAGCCTAAAAAGCCATCAAGTTTCGCCCGAAACCTAGAGCTTCACCTCCAACACTGGAAATGCAATGACGTCACTTCTGGGTGAAGTCATTGCGGCGCGTGCACCAAAAGAATTCAAGGAAAGATCAGGAGTCCCCCCGGCAGCAGCCCGGTAGGACCTGGCAACCCTAATTTTGGTGCTTTGGGGGGGGCATCAGTGGGAGGGCTTCTGGTGTCCTGGCCCCACTGGTGGACCTCTTGACGGCACCTGGTATTTTTGGCCATTGTGTGACAGTGTTGGACTGGATGGGCCACTGGCCTGATCCAGCATTGGCTTCTCTTATGTTCTTATTAATCACAACTGTTTTTTTAAAAAGCACCATGGTGCAATAGCTAATTTTTTCCTAGAACGGTTCAACTTACTGATTTAGGCCTCACAGTTTTGCAAAGTTTGTGCTCATATGGTTGTGGGTTTGAATATAATGGCAAATGAGAGCTGATACCTAAGGCAAAATGTACCATATGGGACAGAAATCTTTTCTTGGGACACCTTCATGTCCCACTTTTGAGCATCTAAAGGCATCTAACTGGTTGTTGCAGTGAAAACAATGGGCCTAAGCAGTTTCGTGATCTTCTGAACTATGCTGAGTCCATTACCCAGCTGACTTAGTGGATGGCTGTGCAGTTCAGGCTGATGTGGCTATCACAGTTTCAAAGGGCTGTGTGAGTAGGCCCTGTATGCTTGAATGTGTTACAGGCCCTGACTGAAAATATTTTCTTTCTGATTTTCTTTCCAATTCTGTGAGAGTAGCAGGGAATAAAACCAAGCAAACCTTATCAGTTAGTTCTTTCTCTGCTTCCAGTGGCAGATGTCGGTTGTGGCCTGGACTCAGTATGCTGGGCCCAACACAGATTGCAAGATTGTTGGAATCCATTTTGTTGACTGCTGAGTTTCGGCTAATGTGGTGTAGCACACAGAGCAGATGCTTGAGCAAAACAAGGTTAGGCTGAGGTAGTTTGCCTGCAACCCTATCAAAGTGAACAAAAGAAAAAGGAACAATCATCCTCAGAAAGTTCTGCTTTTTTTTTCCTTTTTAGTGAGTTTCAACTTTCAAGCCTCTAAAATGGAGAAATGTTTATTTTAAGCGGTTGCACAGAATTCCCATTCAAAAGTCCCTGAGCAATGGATGAATGTGTTTGAAACTGGTTAACCACAGACTACTGACAGGCACCCAGCAGTGTCATACGCCAAGTGTCATGTGTCAGTTTCAAAATCAATGGCCTAAAACAAGGTATATCAGCATATAACTGGAGATAAATTAAGCAACCCGTAGCCTGTGTCTGGTTCTCTTCAATTATGCAGACTTTTTGTTTATTCCATATAAATTAGAAATCCTAAATGGTTGGCTATTTCTTCCTCCACCCCAGTCTCAAAATGTGATTCAGAATTTCAGTAACCAATACAGCCAAAATTAAGTGCATTGTAAGACCCACTGACCTCAGTGGGGTTTAAAAATACTCAACTTTTGAATTCATGTGCCATGGCATTCCACACTCAAAACAATACAAATCTGTTCATTTCAGTGAAATGAGGGGACAAATGCACCACTGCTTAATAAGAGGCTTTACATTATTTTACAGCTTGATCCTAATCATGTTTACTCAGCACTAAGTCCCATTGAATTCAGTTGGTCTAACTTGCAAATAAGTATATTTAGGGGAGCAGCTTAATGTTATGTTAATTTTTCATTAGGCTTGCCTTTTTGTTTTGAAAATTTTCATCGGGATAGTATATGAAAATGTTTTTAAAAACTCTCTCTTGCATTCTTCCATACATTTTTGGAGCACACCTTTGCAAATCATGTCCCACAAGCTCCAGCCATTTCTTGTACTTGAAAAGGCATCTTCACTGTGTGATTTTAACTATCTGTCCCACAATGCCAATCAGATTTGTCCTTACTCTGCATGGGGGAAAAACAGAATGTCTATCCTTATTGCCTATGCCCTGTCTTATCAAATGGCTGTAATGGGGACATATTTCTTCCCTCAATAGCAGCCCTTCTTCCCTATGAACAGTTTCACACTCTTCACAAAGGGGTGAAAGAAAACAGAGAGTAAGTCTCACTGAACTCAACTGAGATTTTCTCAGTAAAAATGAAGGATGATACTATTAAGTTACAATTGTAAGCACACTTACTTAGTAGTAAATTCAGCTGAGGCCAGTAGAGTTTACAAATGGTAGTGAAGGAAATGTGGGAAGGCTATAATTCTAACTGCATACATTTAAAAATGATTTCCACTAAAATCAGTGGGACTTTTAAACAAGTGAGTATGTTTAACACTGGTGTCCCACGGTGCTATTATAATCTGGAGAGAAACAATAAGAAATATATGTAAAGGTGTAGTGCTTACTCTTTCATTGCATCCATTCTTTCACGATGGCTTGTTTTCTCCAGTGCTGTCACCCACTCATCATAAAGTTCAGATAATAACAATTTCTGGGGGATGTTTCGGAGGAAATCCTGCAGTAGAATAAGCTTAACATGAGCATGTAGGGATATTATAAGCAAAAAATTTCTTCCCATCATTTGGGAAATGGATAGCTATAGCAAGAAACCCAGTGAATATACCTTAAAAATCACTGCTAGCAGATGGACAGGTTCATTCTCTAAGACCACTTTTCCTCCAGTATTTAATTCTTCTTTCAGCTCCTTGCGTGCTTTCTCATTGGCAGCTTTTCGGAATATCCCTTCAGTAGAAGGCCCTTTCAGGTAGAGAATTGTAAGGATGTCCTGCAAGTAATATAACAAGAACAAAAGAATGGTTACATTTTAGAAAATCTACGTTTGAGTCCGGTTGCACTTTAGAGACCACCATGATTTTCAGGGAATAAGGTTTTGAGAGTCAAAGCTCGCTGATTAATGGTGTCTTGACTCTTGAAAGCTTATACCCCAAAATCTTGTTGCTGCCCAAGGTGCTACTGGACTCCAATCTAAATCTTCTACAGCAGACCAACACTACCATGTGAAACTGTAAATTTAGAAAGAAACACAGAGAACTTAACACAGTATAATATAATTTAATTGTTTGACTTTCAACTATGTTTGTAAAATAGGACACTAACTACTAGACCAGCATTTCCCACCCTTTAAGTCCTGTCACAGAAGTGGATAGCCAAAGTCTATGAAGTGGGTCCCAGTCTTTTGCAGTTTTATCGATTTGGGCTTGCTCTGCTTGTAGAAGTGGATCAGTATACCTAGTAAATTTGAACTTGTGGGTCACTGTACCAGAAAGGTTGGGAACCACTTTACTGGATTTTGTTTCCAGTAAGAATGTTTGATTTTCCCATTTCCTTACATCTAAAATACCAGGAGGAGGAGGAGGAGAGTTGGATTTATACCCTACTCTTCTCTCAGCATCTCAGAGTGGCTTACAACCTCCTTCCCTTCCTCTTCCCACAACAGACACCCTGTGTGGTAGGTGGGGCTGAGAGAGCTCTGAGCGCACTGGGTTACCGCTCTGAGAGAACTGTGACTGACCCAAGGTCACCCAGCTGGTTGCATGTGGAGGAGTGCGGAATCAAACTTGGTTCTCCAGATTTGAGTCCGCCATTCTTAACCACTACACCACACTGGCACTGCACCAAAGAGAGAGTTGCTGAATGCCAGCTCTTCTTCAGCCTGCTCCTTTCAATTTGAGCTGCATGCCAGAGACAAGCCTACAGGATTGTGTGCCCCATTCTGTGATGGGCCAACCTCTGGGCGGGCCACAAGGAAGTGATTGAGATCTGACTAACAGCCAGTGCTGGGTTAAATTGGCCCGGATCATCCTTGCTCCCCCCTTTTCACCCAAGCACAAATGGCTCCCCCAGCCCCATGGCTGGGAGCCTGTCTTCTTTGCTTGCTGCTTTTCAGACCAGCATGCTCAATTTTCCCGCTCCTTTTCCCTTTCTCTCAATGCTTTTTCAGATCTTGCCTCAAGTATACTTAATCTGTTTGTAAATCAGAAAGTGTGAACCAGTTTTATGCAGCATAAAGATATGGAAATGTATAATAGAGCTTGAATTTCTTTGGCACAAAACCGGATTGATTTTGTCGGAGAATATGAACATCCCCAACTGAACTTCTTGTGGACTGTGAGGAACAAATAAGTCTCAATTCCAGTGTTGTTTAGCTTTGTGATTATTTTCATAACAAGAAGGGGAGAACTGCACCTGTAGAAAGTGACAACAACATCCTACAGTTTGCTCACCAGTATTGGTTTGGGGAGCATGTCCTCTTCACTGCAGACCATTGACAATGGCTGATCAAACAGAGAAGGTTTCAGGTTGCCTTCCAGGTGTCCCAGGGTCTCTGATCCAGTGAAGGTTCGTCTTAGTACAAATGGCCAAGATATCACTTTCTTTCTTTTCTTGTTACTGTCTGTTATCAAAAAAGGAAGCAAGAACAGCATCTAACCAGTGGGTCATGTCAACATCAGAGTGCTACTGCACAATAGAGTTTAGTAAAATTACAGGCACACATTAAGCTAACACAACCTTGTAAAATGGAATTAAGAAACAGATTTTGTTAGGCAGAATTCCTGGTTCTCAGGTTTATTAAATGATACAATTAAAAACTCACCAGTCGGATGACATAGCCCATCTTCACCATCGCATGGTGCCAGCAGCTGACATTTCTTGATATCAGCCTGGAAGAAACAAAGATCGTTCACAAAGGAGCCACTTAAAGATTAATCTAGTTAGCATGTATCTATGCAGTTCATGGCTATAAGAAACCTGTGACATGTCTCTGTTCTCAAAAACGAGGAAATAAAGCTAAAGCTAACTTTCCACCCCTAACTGGGTGGAAAGGGTTAGGATTAGATTCATTTTTAAATGTTAATCTACAACATGATACAACTGTAAGGATGCCAAAAAAGAAGCACAACTATAAGGATGCCAAAAAAGAAGCATTTGTCTCCTAAATCACCTCAGTCTACAACCTTTGTGATTATCAACACACTTTTTGAATTCAGTTTTTAAATATCTCATATAATTTTAAAATTTACTCTCGGATATTAGTGAGTCCCCCACCATATCCCTTCCCCCATATGAACTACATGCCTGCAGGACCTCCCCCCAGCCCCTGTTGGCCTCCTTTCCATACAACCAACAGCATTTTAGGGCACATCCTGGTCTGTGTCCATTATTTATATGTATCCCCCAAAGATGCCAAAGGCGATGATATTTCGGGGGGCAGCCGTGTTGGTCTCCAGTAGAACAGCTAGATTCAAGTCCAGTAAGACCTTAAGAGACCAACAAGACTTTTGGGGTGGAGAGTCAATGCTCCCTCGAGGAGACAAATAATAAGGAATTTAGGTCCAGAGGTAAGTGAACACAAATCTTCTTTTCCTAAGATATGCTAACCCACAGGAATCTCATTCAGAGGGGAGGCTTGTGGTGTTTGCTCTGAAGATGGAAAGTTGCCGGGAAAGGATCCCACCTGTGAGCACCTCAGGGATCATGCCACTGTTGCTTGAACCTATGTTTTTTCACTTAGAAATGAAGTAGATCACAGCCTGATCCTGTTGTATGTTCTATCATGCTCTTGTAGCATTGTTTTCATTTTTTGTAATTCCATTTTCTGCATTGCTTGACATAGCATCTTTGTTCTGTTTTTTTGCATTTTTGTAATTTTTATAAGCCTAGCCCTATTGCATTGTTTATGAGATCTCTCCTGCTGTTTGATTACCATGTTCTATATAGCATGTAATCTACCTTGAGTCTCAAGTAGAAAATTGGTAAATAAATATGAAAGTATAAATAAATAATAAAAGCAAATAAATAATGATGGGCTGACCACCACTGTACGCATCCCCCCCCCATCATTTTTTTCCCCTGGCTGCGGGTCTGAAACTTCTAACATAAGCCTCAGCACTGCAGCTCTTTGTATCCTAGCCACAGATCAATGTAAGGCTGTGATCAGCTTCCTGTCTGTACAACATTATGAAATGAATCTCATTGACTAATGAGACTTTGGAGTGAAGCTGTTTAGGCATTAATCATTAGCAGGGCTATTTTTGGGCAGGAACGCACAGGAGCGGAGTTCCGGCTGGCTCCCGAGTTGGCCACGCCCGGCAGGAACTCATTAGCATGATAGGCCACATCCAACAGCAGAAACTCTTTAGGATTGACTATAATAGAGGTTTGTGGCCTAACATGCAAAGGAGTTCCTGCTACAAAAAAAGCCCTGGGTTTTGACAACAGACAAGGTAAACAGAATAAGAAGCTAAAGGTGGGTGTGGCTGGATGACCAGACTTCTGATAACATGGGGGTGTGGCCTAATCTGCTAATGAGCTGTGCTGTCAGGGGTGTGGCCTAATAGGCTAATGAGTTTCTGCTGTTGGGTGTGGCCTATTATGCTAATGAGTTCCTGTTGGGCTTTTTCTACAAAAAGAGCCCTGCTATTAGTAAGATACAGCCCATTGAGCAAATCATGATTCACCACAGCACATCCCATTCATTTTTCTGGAACTTCTGTGGTAGCAAGGGCACTATGCAGCTCACTCCAAAAGAACCCTCTTACAAAATCATTCCCAAGTAGCTGGAGTGTGGATTGCAATAGGACACTCTTTACGGTACTGGTAGTACCGTCCTTAGAACAGTTTCCTAAAAGTAAGCCCCAGTATACAGACTTGACTAAGATTCTGAGTAAACCTGATTATGATTGATTTTTGAAAATTTGGCATTCAGGTTTTACATGATTTATGACTATACTTTGAAATAATATTTCAGCACAGTAGCTAATCAAGGAACAAGCTCAGGACTACACATTCTATGTTAGGTGCATAACAACAATGGCAAGGAAGAACAACCATGATCACGCTCAAGCTCCTCCATCAGCTGAGATCAGTAGAAACACTCCTGACTGTGATTTTACAAAGGCAGAGCTAGCTTGGCATAAATTCAGAGAGAGAGAGGATCGGAAAATGATTTGAACTTTATTTACCTCTGATTGGCACGCAATCCATGTCTCCATATCACTTGCATTTAAGGGTTTTGGCTACAAAAACAAAACAAAGGCAGGTTATACTGAAAACCTGTTCACTTATATATGTTAAAATATTTATCGTAGGGTTTAGATAGAAGTATATCTGGAAAAGGACACTCACTGTGTTGGAGCTACCTAGCACCTTCATCAGGAACTTAGTGATGGAACTTTACTGATTTTTTTCTCCCTTGATGGTTTCTCGTGTTTGCCTGTTTAGAATTGAGAGGCAAATATTAGCAATGTCCACCCAAGCATTTCTACTTCTTGCTGCAACCCCAAGGTGTCAATCTGCAAAAAGTTAAGACTGATATAGCCCAGGCTTCACTTCCTTTTGTGTACATAATTATTTGTTTGATCTGGCTTCACCTCCTGTCAAACAGCCCTCCTGGAAAAATACGACGACTACATAACAGAGGCAAAAGTGAAGATACACTAAGGAGGGCAATGTCCCTTTCAAACCACCTTCAGCTCTCTAGAAAACAATCTTCTGTCACCAGAAGTCAAAATCTGAATGAGAAAACTATCCCTTATACAAATGTTCTCTCCACAGCATACTGTACAAACATCATTATGCAAATTAAATAATGGCTATATAGTTCAACCACTAAGTAGAACACATAGTAAACTTTAAGGCATGGGAATGCATAATATCAAACAGACAACTACTTCATGTACTTGAAAACAACAAAGAAAAGTAAGCATTACATACAAGGCATATATAGCAGTTTATGAGACGGTAACCGTCTACCAGTGGTAACTAGACAACACTAAACAGCATCCTTGTTTAGTTGTATAGAGCAGTTTAGTTTGGCAAGGGGCAACTTGTCCTGAACATCTTTCTGGTACAGAGTTTCAAAGTGCAGGCTTACCGGAGAACGGTATCCAGCCAGCGTTCTTTCACCTCCAGCAAACTGCAGAGAAAAAGAGAACCAGCATGATGCTCCGCTGTGACTAATGTGCTAGAGACAGAGATGGGGAGACAGAACAGTTCAGCACCACATGTGCCGCATTCTAAATGAGGAGTGGTGGTGGGAGGGGGCAGGTGGAAATTCACAGCGTAGTAGACAGGAAGGAGTGTCATGGTTTGAATGCAGAAGTCCTCTGACAGATGCTGTAATACTTTGGCTTCCTCTTTCCTTTTAGGGCAGCCACAGAGAATGCTTTTTTCTTCTTCTTAAAGGAAAAGGCCCAGTGCTGTCATAGATGGAAAGATGACGGAACAGTTGAGACGTCCCACACGTAATGGTTCCATGTTACGAGAGTAATCAGGTGGGATGTGTGAAAAAGATGTTGTTGTGTGGGTTGGCTCAAGGCCTTCTTCTAAAGGGCAATCTGGTTTTAAATATCAAAGCTCTACTATGAGAGTATCTTACTGTGCTGAATTGATCCAAAGACGTAAAATCTGACCCCTTAGTAATCACATCTTTTTTTTTTTAAATCAAGATCAGTGAACATATATCAGTGTATTTAAAAAAAAACAGTTGGATGGATCTCTGTGGAGGATGGGGGGAGTAGATGGGGAGACAAACTGCACCGAGGGGTTTGTAGACAAAAAAATCAATGTATATTTATTGATTTATGTCTCAGAGACATCATTATCTTTGCTTACACTTCCATATGCAGTGTACAAGACTAAAAAAATAATCGCAAAACCCCCACAGTTGTTATGTGCAGTTTCCAGAGAGGTCCTTTTCCTACAAGGCTGTATTGTCAAATTGTAAACTTGGATGAGTTTTCTATACTTGAAACTTTCTTCTGAACAGCAGACGTCCCCAATAGAAAAGTTTCATTCACACTGCCATGTGCCTTTGCAGACAGATGATACGATCATTCATGAAAAGGCAGCATTAAACAAAGCCTTGGCTCCTATTCATTCCTATAAGCCCATAAGGCTAGATAGCAGCTGCCACATGAGACAGTGGCAGGCAGACAGGCAGACCCAGGTGGATGGTGGGGGGAGGGGGTGACTAAGCTGCCTTGAGAAGCAGTGGCATTAGGGGGTTTATGGCAGCTGACTGGATAAGCGTGGTGTCTGTAAGGCTGTAGGAACTGCCCAGATGGTTGTCATACCTCATGGAAGTAGATGCTGTCTGGTCAAGAGAAGTCAAGGTTGCAGTCTTATGCACACACTCAGAGGAGAGTAGGTGCCACTGGGTTGGGACCCACTTTCAATTAAAAATGCTTCAGACTGCTATATAAATAATCATATCTATGTGCTTCATTCTCAGCTGACAGTGGTTCCAAACCAGGCAGGGATGCAGAATTCAGACTGTGGCCCATAAACGATCTTGACTGGAGCTAAGTGGGTTGCCTTGTGACATCACCTGGCTCCACCCCATGATGGTGCTTGGCCCCATTATGGCCCATGTTACTGAGGGAGGGTCAGAATACTAGCTGTTCTGTGAGCTGAGGAGCAGCATTCTGAAGCTTTCCAGGAGAAATTTCTCCTTGCATCACAGGGGCTTCCATATGCCCCTGGGATACAATGGAAACATTTCCTATGTGAGGCAGGTCAGAAGGCAGCCTTTCAACTCTTTTCTGGGCTGAGAGGGAATGTTCTGACCCCAGATGGGAAATGTCTCTGCTATATCACAAGGCCTTGTTAACATAAGCCTCTGGGATGCAATCAGGGGTCGTTTCGTAAAAAAAGAGCCAGGGGAACTCATTAGCATAACTCACTAGCATATGCCACACCCCCTGACATCAGGAGCCCGGCGGTGGACCTGAAAGGCCGGCGGGAGTGTGAGGAAGCCCCGCCAAGGCCCTCCCTGGCCCCAGGCAGGCAGGGGTGGGGAGAGGCGGGGAGGAAGCAACTTACCCTCCCTCTTCTCCTGCCTCCTCCTGGCTGAATGAGGGCTGGAAGCAGGGCGGCCAGAAGCAGGGGGCGGGGCTTCGTCATGTGCCCCGCCCCCGCACCTCACCCGGAAGAACTGCGATCCCCCGCGATCCCCCCCGAATCGACCTCTGGATGCAATGCAGACATTTACTGGGGGGGGAGGGTCAGAAAGCTACATCTCTCTCAACTGTAAGGCAGTGTTCCACCCCCGTCCAGGAAATTTCTGGTGTTGTAGGGCAGACACTGGCCAACTCCAGGTTAGGAAATTTCTGGAGATTAGGAGTGGATCTTGGGGAGAGGTTGTTTGGGGGCAGGGAGGGACTCAGTAGGGACGTGATGCCTTAGGGTCCACCCAGCGAAGCTAACATTTTCTCCAGGAGAAATTATCTCTGTCATCTGAAGATCAGTTCTAATTCTGGGAGATTTCCAGGCCTCACCTGGAGGTTGGCAACCTTACTCTGGGATGCAGCAGACGTTTTCCCGTGTGTGTGTGTGGGGGAGAATGATGCATTTCAGTGAGGGGTGGTGGCTCTTGCTGTGTCCCAAAGCTTTGCAAGGAGGTGGAATCAGAATGTGAAGTGCCAGTGCCTCCCTCACACAGCTCATGGGAAGGAGGCAGGAACCATGGCCATACAACAGGGCTCTGGCCAATTCCAATTCTCCTCTGATAGCGTATCTCAAAACTGAGGGGGCTATGAGTTTAATTTAGGGCAATTGTAAATGGCATTTTTTCCTTATAAGCGATAAAGATGGTATTTTCCAAATCACTGCTAGTGAACATCTTGCAGTTAGTCTATAATCATTGTCTAGTTCCGCTAAACTCAAATGTAGGAAAAATATCTCGGAAAGCAAATTTATTGATTTGAGAAATGTCACATTTGCATCACACTTATGGCATTAATAATCAAAGTAGTCAGAAATTTATTCCCCTAATCTGTCCTTCAAAGTGATCTTCTCAATAATCTAGCAGTCATCTGGGATGGCATGAAACTAATTGTTTCTATAGAAAACTCTCAAAGTCTATGCTAACCATTTAAAACCTTGAATAGCTGTATATGTGTTTGTGAACCTCTTAAAGTAGGTTTAATTTATGGTAAATTCATATTAACATCTTCTGTCATAAATTGAGTAATTCTGTTATATGCTGCATTTTATGTGCTATGCTTTTTTTTTCTTTCCTGATGTGACAGTTCATTGTGCCTTTATCTTCTTCTCCACTGCAGGAATACTGGGAAGCTTTCCTCCTTGAAGACTGTTTTCTCCAGTCTCAAGTGGTGACAAAGAATACTTTAGCTGGGATGTTTTAATCAGATGGACAGAACTAATTGGTCTTCAGTCCCAGTCACATTAAATCTCACAATAGAGATGCACCTTCATCTGTATAAAATGAGTTAATCACATATAAGGGGTGGAGATATGTGAATTTTACCAATAATATAAGCTACGGCATGAATTTACTTTGATTTTGTGTGCATGGACCCGAACGTTTATGTAATGTATTCAGCCTGACATGCCCGGACTTGCCCGGGCTGGCCAGGCACAACTCTTCAAATAGCTTCATGTCCAAAGACAATGGGTCCGTAGGATCCTAGCCGGCCCAATCAAAGGGCCAGCTTCTCAGCCGGGAGACCAATGGTCGCCCGGCTACTGTAAATAGCCTATCGGGAGTAGGGGGTGTGTTTAGGTGTACTTGGTGGCGGGTTTTCTGAACCTATATAACCAGCCTGCGAGCTGGTCCCTTCGTCTTTGTCCTGAACTAAATAAAGGTATGCTTAGCTGAAATCACTCTCCGTCTGCATACTTTTCAGTTTATACCCATTATACACACACTTCTTACTGCAGATTTTCAGAGCCGTAAACCTTTACGCTTGACTTCGGATTCTGTGCTCACCTTATGCACCCTTCTTTTTCCTCTGGTGTATTTATTCTGCAGCTACAATTTTAAAAATGCACTTTTCTAAATCAGGGTGGAACATCACTTGTGACGTGTGGGGGTGGTGTCCAAAGTTTTTACACAATTGTCCTATTGCAGCTGCACAGTAGCATCCAGCAAGCACCTTCCATTTTAATCCTCCTGGTTCAGGTTTTGGACATGCATTTTAGCATTATTTCATTGAATGAAAGAGAACAGAAAGGAATTTAGGCAAAGGAGGAAAACCTGATGTTGAAATTGACAAGGCTTTTTTTAAAACTGACAAGCAGCTACAAAGCCCCCTTTTCCATACTGCTGTGTTATCGGCCACTGTGAAAAATGGGTAAGAGTCACACGGTCTCATAATATGGGGGAACATGTTGCGTGTACAGAATGTATCCACTGACACTAGCATTGGAAGCTGTGAGCATTGGCAACGTGTGTGTGCATGTGTGC